CACAGTGTTTTCCTTCTGTAGCTTTAGAATCATCGACACCTAATCCTGGACAACTTGGATGGAAGGATCCCTAGTGCAACGGCTTCGACCCGTTCCCCGTGCAGTTTCCATTGGAAACCGCCCACACCCACATTTCCCATGTGGATCACTTTTGCTTACAGTTTTCCACACAAAAAAGAATTGTGTCGTAGGTCCGCGTTTTGTTGATGTCTTGTTGGCGCATGTGCTCCCGTACAGGTCATAGCTTCCAATGTTTAACAAATAAATGCAACAACTGATCAAAGGTGTCATCAAACAGGTTTTGAATAGAAAGCTCTCTTTGCTGTTACAAATCTATGTCGTGCTTGGAAAAATAGATTGCAAACACGAACGCAACCTTCTGGTGATGTGAGTTTTAGTGTCGATCATAAAATGACTCATCGAGTGGGAGTGTAGCATATTGTGGGACATCAATGACTAGCAAGTTACACTGTGTGGCGACACTTGGGAGATAATATATGTGAGTGTGCAAGATGGCTTCGTAAATTGATCATTTCAGGGATTACATGTGTGTGGATATGTCGGGTGGTGGAGAGTGGGGTTTTGGTAGTGTTTGTTATTGCAATTGGTTGGCATGAGTGGAAATCGGAATGGGAAGTTCTTTAGTTTGTTTGGCACACCGAAAATAAAAGCGAACCGATATGTGCAACTGTAGAGAGTGCAATATGACAACAAAGCTGCGTTGGAAAACAAACACAGAACTAGGAGATTTGGACAAGGAATGACTATGCAAAAAGATTGACTTTCCATTGGCATATTATCTGGATGGCACCACTGCGTTAGTAATAACGTATTTAAAACTAGTTTTGTGATGTTGTGCGGTGTGAAGGGTGGAGTCTATAATTGCCATATTTACCTATATTTGCTGAAGAGTTTTTTTTATCGTCGTGCAGGTTTGCAATCGAAGCTTTATTCATTCTCCTAAGTAGTATCATAGTGTTTGCAATCGAAGCTTTATTCATTCTCCTAAGTAGTATCATAGTGTTTGCTTCGAAACAGAATGTGTGCTGTGCCTTTGTTTATACCAGAATAAGTGCACTAGCACGGGACTTACGATTTTCGATGTGGTCGATGCATGAAAGTGATCACATTTTCTGTGTAGAAAGCTTTTTTTACCGGTGCAGTCGGATTTGCCTTTTATTCGGATTATTGCTTGATTGCTCAATCGAAGCACCAGTTGGAAACCTCATTTGTTGGCCCTGTATGTGTCCATCGATGGTTTCCGAAACGCAACGGTTCATTATCGTTAGTTTAGCAGATAGTAGAAAAGATTCGCATCCAGTTTTTCGATAGGATGCCGAGAATGTCGCTTTTTCGATGATACCGCTTAGACGAAACATATCATCGCAGCCAAGTGTAGTTGGGCTTTTTCGTTGCTATTATGGTTTTGTTTACGCTTTCTTCGACGTGCATGAGTTCAGGGTCGAGGCCGATAAGCAACAAGCTAGACGCCAGAATTGATGGCAGAGAACTTTGATTATGGGATTGGGGATAGAAACAACAACCTTACGGTGGGGGTTATTGTTCTTAGGATCGACATTGCCAAGCTTCCTGTACCTCATTTTAGCTGCCGATCAGTGTGACCCAACCCATCTGGTTTATCCCAACCAATGGAACCAAATGTGCTCTGCGGTTGTGCATGAGCGGGGACAGAATCTCAACGGCATGGAGTCCTAATTACTCATTGTATTGTAAGGACCTCGTTGGCGCTCATCCCCAACTGACAGGCCGCCAGAGTCCGTTGTTTGAGATTCTGATCACCACGTATTCCCGTCTTAAATAAGAGGGGAATCACGACAACGGTATCGTCGAGCCGGCGTCAGAACTGGCCCGAGCAGGCCCAGTCGAGGCCCAATCACTATCTCAATCCAGAACTGCAGAGTCTGTCTCGATATCTGGAGGTTGCGTAACTCGCGGTAAGTTCATCGCCACAAGCCCACCGAGGCAGCGGCTTTTTTTCCCGCTGCTTCCTTTTCCATCAGTGTGCAGGAATAGTCTGAAGCGATCTGCGCCACAAGCTGGCCAGTCTCAGACACCGTGAATCGGATTTTCTTGGCCCCCGAAAGCTTGGAATGCGATTTCATGGTGCCGTCCTGATTGGCGAGGCGGCAAACGTCGCCGTGGCCACTAGCCGGCATCGTCATCGTCTTCGTCGTTATCCAGTCTGCCTCACCCCTGGGACGACTTGCGAACGCCTCGAATATTCGCAACCGTCTTCTCTGCTCGCCACAAACTCTCTGACGGCGTTGTGCTAATTCCACATCTCTGGTACGAACTAGCACATGTAATTGTGAGCAAATCAGCATGTCCAGGGGAAGATTTCGGCAGCGGATCTTGCTACAACTGTGAACCAGGTTGCTAGGACAGCGTTGCCGGAGAGCTCTGCGGCAGCGGCATCCATACCCACCGCGGCGCTTCTGTCTGCTTTGTGTGGCTTGAGCTCGCTATTGCAACTTTGTGCAGTCATTTAAAACCTTGTCCACCTTGTATCGTTTTCTATATATATTAACATATACAAATGCATCCTTTTTATGAGATACGGTGAATGAGATGAAATATACTTGGAACACAAGACTCATGCGATTAGTTCCTAGTTTAACACAATTCAACCTCAGTTTGACGCTTGCTCCTTATTAATGGCGTGAACTGTTTTAGAATAGGAATAATGCAATTAACATAAAACAAACATACTATTTCTTATATATATATATATATATATATGCATACATCTGTGCTTGTGATTATGTTTTAAACATTATATTCAGGGGGTAAAACCAATCAAACAAGTTTCGGTAGCTCAATGCTACCTAGCGATTGAACTTCCTCAAAATGAGGCGATGAACCTGTTTGCTGGATTTTAACATATTGAAAAACCCAAATGCCTTCTTTTCTTCTTCTGCTTCTTCTTATTCTTCTACTTCTTCTGTGGTTATTGGATTTCAAGGCCCAAATTCCAACAGACATCCTTCCGTTTTTAATTTTTTGCTGTTTTGCAGAGCAAGACAATGTGATTTCCACCCCGACAGGACAAACTTCCTCATGCACCCATATTCCCATTCTGTGTGAAAAAGAGGTCCTGAGGACAGATCCTTGAAATTTTAACATTTTCCTCTTCAGAAACTGCTGGAATAAGCTCCAATTGCGTGGGGCACGGAGTGTCATGATTTCCAAGCCTTGGTATGAACTACGGGTTGACACATTCCCTACCCATCCCCTTTGGAGCTTTGCAAGCTGGACCCACATGTTATTTTATTTTATTTTATTTTTTCATTCACATAGAATTGTTTTCTAAGGTATAAGATTTAGAATTCTAAAACTCATGTTCACATCAATGTTGCCTGTTTTTTTCTGCAAAGACTTCTAATGACACCAAAGTATGCAAGGAGAGATTTGAGGTAACTTAAACGATTTGTTCAACCTTTGTAGAGGCATGTGATTTATACTACAACATTTTCATGGTTTGCATCAACACATATCTATAAGTTCGAAGAACATTTAGAAGTGTGAGTGGAATGTTGCCAAAAGAGACAGTGGAGTTTGAGAACTATCATTTTCAGCAACATGAGATCTTTGTGAATAACTGGAATGAGACAAGAATTTATTATGATAACAATTTATGGGGCAAGTTAATGATGATAAAGTCCTTGCTTGTGCCAAAAAGAACAGCACCAAGGAAATTCATGGTCCTTTGGAGATTGAAAAGGCTTTACCATTGTGTGAATAGATTGTGTGTACATGTAAGTTATAAACCCATTTTGTGTAGCAAAATAAATAAGAAAATAAATAGGGAATATAAAGGAGAGATGGAAAGGGAGAAAGAGAGGTTCTGTTGAATCCTTAAAAGGACATTGTGACATTTAGTTTGTTTGGCACACCGAAAATAAAAGCGAACCGATATGTGCAACTGTAGAGAGTGCAATGTGACAACAAAGCTGCGTTGGAAAACAAACACAGAACTAGGAGATTTGGACAAGGAATGACTATGCAAAAAGATTGACTTTCCATTTGCATGTTAGAGAGTGGCGTTTACAAAGGTTATATTTTGATTGTGAGGGTCTTTGTTCAAGAGATTTTACTTCCAGACCAAGTTTATGGTGATCTTTTTTTTTACCTTTGTATATCTTAGATAACAGTAATTGCCCTCATTTTGCGTTTTGATGTCTGGTTTTCAATTTGAATAAATCATCAATTTAAATATTCGTTTATAACATGAATGGGTAGCAACGGTAGAAAATTTAGTTTTGACACTTTTCACTTTTTTGTCATTGTTTTTTTGGAACGTGGACTATTTTGATACAACTTTGCAATCGGAGGAGCATCTTCGAGAAAGTATAGATGATGGTATCGTGTTCCTCGATATCTTGGTGGCAAATATTAGTGAGATGTCAACTTTATTGTTCACATTTTTTTTTTATTGAATTTGATGCTTTGGAGGAGTTCGGAGCACTTGAACTGTAACATATAGCACTGGCAACAGGAGGGAGGTGAGTCTGCTGTCGGTCTCTACTGCTACCACTGGTCACCTTATCAACTCGTACTTGGGTCAATTCGTCACCAGACTTTCATCTATTCTTGCACAGGACTGGCGACGTAGCTCTCGGTTTGAATTCATTTTGTATCTAATGATATTTTTGTAATCCTTCTCAATTTTTTTTCGGTAACAGTAGTTCATCTGATTACTCTATCAAAAATACATAACTGAACAAGTGGCTATCTATGATCCGGAGGTAGTTAGAAAGTTCAATACAATATCGAATAGATAGTTTAATAGTGAAAGAATTGTTTAAGTATGAGGTCCATAAAGATTAACCGACAATATTTTCCAAAATTGATTTTGGTCTGTCCAACAAGAATATTCTTCCTAAGCACAGCATAAAAGCTTCCTGACAATGAGTACTCTTCCTAACAACCCCTAATGTTCTTTCTCCCAAGTAACATGTGCAACATCTACAGTTTGAGAATGGACCAATTGGAAGTCGTTACGATTAATAACTTATATACAAAATTGTCCTGGCAGAACATTAGGTGACTTATAACCCACTTTGAAACGCTACACAAGTGTTCTCAACCAGAACATGCATGGAAGTGAACCCTGTTAGAGGTCAGCTTCTGTATTAACACACAATTGTAAACAGACACCGGCATACTCCTTACAACTTACAAGTGCACCAAGTTCTAAACTGGAGTAGACAAACTATAGTGGTAACACAGGTTGATGTTTCAACCAGACCCACTATGCAGTCAATTTTGGCCCAGATTCTTTTATTGGATACCCATCGAAAGGTCTATCCTTGCAGGATGGGCTCATGGAAAAGTCAGGACTCGATGGCAATAGAAAGGTACCTATGCTGCTCAGATGCAGTTAAATAGCATCTGTGCAAAAATTACCGTAAAACATATCCCATTTAGTTTGTGAGAAGTCGTTTCAGGGTTAGTCCAGATACCACCACTTGACCAGACATTCAGATAGTTTTTTCCTGAACGCTGTAACACCTTGAAAGTGGGCAATAAGCTGGAACTTATTCCAAAAAAAACCTATGTGCGGGCAGGCGACGAATGGAAGCAACACGGGCAGTAGATGCCAGAACACATACATCCATGACAAGTCTCTTCTCTAAAACCTTGCTACGAGCTAAGTCTTGATATTTTCCTCAGATCTTGTCCAAAATTTTATGTACTCGCCATCTTGGCTGTGCAATATTCGCAAGAACCCAATAACTCCCATCTCGAATATCTCCCGTGAACTCTTTGACTAGAAGATTTTCCCTTGCACAGGTTCTGGCAGACTAAAATGACAGCTCTTGATATAGAAAGTTGAATTCACATACTAGACAACTCATCTCCGTATTTGTTGGTATCGAAACCGATTTGCAATGCTTGGCTTCGCAGGACCATGACCATGACCTTGACCCACCTTGGCCCGTTGGGGTCCCCCTTTTGGAAGTTCTGTCAGTTCCATAACTTGCACCACACGCTGTCTTTTAGCTGAAACACCCCAACACCAGTACTAGACGTAAGAGATAGGTACATCCAAACTCCGAGACAAGTATATGGAAGGCAAAATTAATGAGAGAATCGTTACCACTGCTTCATACCAAAGACTCCTGCCAGCGATATGATAAGGGAAAATGTTATATCATAACCAGAAAACTGACGGACAGAACATACCATTATTCTCTTGCTCATATCTTTCATGCATTCGTCTCTTGGCAACCTCAAGTCTAGCTGACACACTGACGTTTTCCTCCGGTTCTTGAGAGTTCTACAGCACCAAGGCAGGAATGGATAGCTAGATCAATATTCGGCCGACAGAAATCCGTCAGTGAAACATTTATTAGTCTCCACAAGTCATCAAAATTTGACATTATTGAACTAATCCTACAAATATTTCAAAAACAAAGTTGGAGGATAAGGTAACACCAACAATTTACCTTCTGTACGGGTTTAGGCTTGTTGTCTTTCGGAACTGGAGGCTTTGTTTCGAATTTCCTTACAGTACCATTACCGACGGCTTTAGGGGGCCCAGACCTATCCACCGGTCGTCCAGGGCCAGAATTACCTCGGCTAATACCATGTGCTGATCTATCGATACCATTAGGCGTGTCAAAAGCTTTCCGTCCATTGGACTGGATAGACCTGCCATCACCATTTCGAATCTCATGATGACTGTTTGATGTGTTAATACGGCCCTTATTCTTCGGAGCCTGGGATTCGGGGCTAGCTGTAGGACCCCTACTTTGTTGTTGCCTCTTGCTCAAAGGAGCCACTATATCATCACATGCTCCATTAGAAGACGGTGGACTAGGACCTGAACCCGCAGCTGTGCAGATAAAACCACGCATCAGACAAAACAGTAAAAAAATCTAGCCAATTGATATGAGATGGTAGGCGTATCTGTTATCGCATCGAAAGTGTCTTTTAAGAATATCTTCAATGAAGCAATACAGCGTCAGGCGAGAGTGAAGACATACATAAATCATCCAAAAAGTCGTCAAAAAAGTGGGACATTTCGATGGAGTTTGCTCGTGTGGAAGCTAAGAGAGCACCCGGATCCAGAGGAGGAGATGGTAGGCCCTCCTCTCCATTGTCTACTCCTGCTGAATCTGCACAAAGAAGGGAAACGTGTAACAAGAGTGAGTAATGAAGCAGTCCAATGCTGATAAGCATGCGATTAAGGTATAAGTTGCACACAGAATAAGAGTTATTTAGAGAAAACTACAACTGAATGCTATGAGTCACGACAAACTGATTGATGATTTGGTCTACTTCAAACACTAAACTTCATGTTACCTGCTGCGGCCGCAGCAGCAACATCTCCTGCACTCTTCACCCACTCATCAACAAGATCCTTCCAGCTTCTGCAAAAATGCAAGCAAAATGAAGGTTGTAAGCCCATATGTGTTGATTTAGGCTACTATCAACCCAAAAATACTTCAATTCGGTGAAAGAAACACACCACGGTTGCCAAATTCCAGTCGTCAGAACCCGCAATGGAAAATTGAAACATTCTCACGCGTCGGAGACTCTCAAGACATATCATTTGAACTTTACCTGACTAAATCCTTGGCAAGTGACCGAACCCGCTTGGATGGATGCTTACGCAACGCATTCACTTCCTTGCCAATTTCAGTTTGCTGCAGAAATAAGCATTTCCCAGCTGGTTAAACACAGGGAAATAGGAACAGCACTGTGGAAGTAATTTTGAGCTAAGGAATGTGTAAGTTCATAGTTAGGGCACAGCAGCAAAATACATACGCAAGGTCCGCCTTACCTTGAGTGCCTCCACAGATATGTGCATGTCCTCTAATGTGCGCAATGCTGTCAAGATAGCACTCTCGTCCTGCAAAATATTACACATTTCATTAGAAACATGCTCGTGTACGCAAGAAGACTCATAAGTGAATTCATTCATGTGTAGCAAAGCCCAAACATTATATGCTTCTGGCCAAAAGAAATCGGTATCCTCAATGCATACTCAATTAAATGTAACCTTTTGAAGCTAGCAGAAAAAGAATTTCAACCAGCCTAGACAGATATCAGAACAGGAGCCTCTTGATCGTTAAAACACAGCAAGAGTGAGCGACAAACTACAAAATTGAGTACCTGCGATGAATCCGCAAGGATATCCTTTACCCTTAAAACCTCCAGCGTCTGCCGGGCCTCCTCCTCCATAGCATCATTCAAAGCCTCAGCTTCATCGTACTCTTCCGTTGAATTTACCAGCCTATCCTCGTCATCGCTAAGTTCGGTTCTAACATGATCATAATCGTAATCGGGAGGGTCTACACCTTTGTCATCGTGAGCCTCCTCGACATCATGGCAAGCGACGACTGGCAAGCATCCATTAGATTTAGAAAGCAAAGCGGGGTGCGCGAAGAGCTTCTCTACAAAACCATCCCGTCGAATTCGAAGTTCATGAGGATAGTCTGTGGCAGCTATGTCCAACACATTATCAATCACTGTCCATATGTCTGCTCCTGCTCCATTTAGAAACTTACGCCATCTCGTATCCATGTTGTTTTAACAATCTACCTCTACCCTAACTACAGGTGACCGAAGGACGCAAGGGGCCACAGCCAACACCTCAACTCTTCCCCACACTTCTTTCACCATTCTGTTTCAATTCGTAAAGCAGCGTTGAATGTCCCCATCACCATTCCAAATTAGAGAGCAACTCTGATCAATAACCAAATCTGACCACCTCGTCAAGGCACGGGCAACTCAGATGCCAACCCAGCAGCAGTTGAAAGGGTACTCCGGCTTGCTCACCCTAAAATAAAGGATTCTGTCAAATTCCGTAAAACAATGTTCAGTGTCTTCTTCAGACTTAAATCACTAACAACGCAAAGAAAACAGACTTTACTCCCATTTCGTCTTCGAGTAACAATTAAAGTCATGGCTTCGACAGCCCTTACCTGAACAGTTGACGACCATCCAATCAACCAAGATTGTTTATTCACCAGTGAATTAAGAACCTTACGATTTCGAATGATCTTACAAATATTCACGACTATGCCTGCCTCATGCCACATTACAGCGTGTAAGCTACAGCAGACACCTGCGCGAAGAAGAGTTTAACTCTACAAAGACACATCGATCAAAAATGATCCCCACCCCCCGAATAGTACCCCCTGCAAATGTGACACTGATAATTGGATCTCCCACCCCCACACCGCAGATGCCCGGACCATGCCCGAACTACTTGGAAGTAATAAAAGGCCCCAATTCGCAATTCATTAAAGATGGTCCGTACCATCCACACAAACAGAAAATGGGTCAAAATAGACACCAATGGGCTTGAGTCATCTATCTGCAACGAATCAATCGGTTAAAGTGCGATTTGGGTCCGAACCAAGTACAGCTGCAACATGCTCTGTCACCCCGTAATTAAAACATGGTTGGTGTTCATCGAATGTAAAATGTGCCAATCCACTATCTAGAACTGTACATTCCTTCAACATGATCCGCAAAAACTTTGCTGAAGTGCCAAACCTCAAAAAGCACTCGCATATAACACGGAGCTCACTAAAGCAGTGGCAAAACAAAGACATGGCAGTCACCACAGAATCCTTAGCCTTCAATTAGGGTCTCAGCAGACAGCAGGTGTGGGAAATCCTCTAACCCTAATAGAATGTCGATGAAACTCTAGCCCTAAGACGAATCTAAGATAGCACGGCCCTTAAACGCGCTAGCAAAGAACAAAGTTCGAACCCTAATATGATCATCCCTCTCCACGTGTAAGCAATCAATGGAAGATGTACAAAGATTGTCTTCGCAATTGAGAAGGTAGTCTGCTACCAACCTGCCCTAGATATGAAACACACGATGCCGACGCTTGAACTCTTCTAGCTTCGCTCATTCGGCAGCTTCAACCACGATACAATTCGTGCTCTAACGCGTCGCTTGAAGTTGATAAGTCAAATGCGACATGACCATACCATCTGAGAATCCAACCACACGGTCATGCGCCAGGAAACATAGGAAGAGAACAAACTCACACATTCTCCTCGATTCCACACGACCTTTGCAACCATGCCTGCAATCATAAACATCCAGCTAACGCCACTACCTTACGGTGCTAATCTCCAACCCCGCCTACAAAATTCACAACGCCGCGCAAGTCGCAGATGTCGAAATTAAGCCACTAACGACAAAGACACTCTACACAAGAAGAACAGAGAAATCGAACTCGTTTATCGACATGGAACATCGCTGCGCACAATCAAAGGTATTCCACACACAGGCTGCTGTAGCACACGCTCTTCGCCGTTCACAGAGATCATGCTAGCAGCACAAACAGCAGCCAAAGAGTAGAACTCCACCCCGCGTCGTACCCTAAGGCGAAAACGACGCCACGGCTCCGCCAACCACACTTCCGAGCCCGGAACTCCACGCCTTGAGGTACGAGGCAGACTTCTACGCCCCCTGCCCACCGCCAACAACACAATCCAGCATCACAGGCTCCCAAAGCGGCACCACCGCGCCGACTTTCTCCCAACACAACCAAGAGCTACACAAGGTCACGCAAACAACCACAGCTTCCTCCACAGGTCACCAATTGAGCCGAAGCCTGGACCGATCCTCGCCTTGCTGTGTGCCCTCTGCGCTACGGCATCGATTGCTCACGCGCTTCAGCATCCACTCATCGAATCTGCGTGAGCAATTGCAGAGGTCTCATCTCGCGTCCGTGTCTCTCTCTCTCTCTCTCACCTCACGCAAGCCAGGATAGCATACCCATCCATGCCCATGGGTCATGCCATGCCGATGCCCCCTCTGCTCATGGCCATGCCCCGCATGACTGTTGCGTGGGACCGGGTCGGCCACTGCGAGCACGGGTCGGGTTGACTGCGCCCGCGATGTTGACCTGGCAGGCCACCTCTACAGCGGGACGCAGATTCGGAACTTGAACGGTCTTGAACCCCCCCCCCCTTCCCCTTCCCTTGTCTTCCCTTCACAGGAGGATGCCACCATTAACATGCTCTCTATCTTTTCTCTCTTCCCCTTTCCTTTTCCTTCCCTTCCCTTCCCTTGTTCTTGACCACATACTAGGACCCCAAACCCTCACCACTACTACACCCACACCACCCATGTGATGCAAGTGGCCATTTCTCTCCCATCCTCCTGTTCCTCTTCCTGTTCCTCTTTCTTTCTTCCTTTCCTTTCTCTCTTTTCCTTCTCTCTCATCTTTATCTTCCCCTACGTCTTCTTCTTTTTCTTTGTACTGTTGGGTTCTTAGCCCATTTGGTTTTAACCTCTTGCTCTGCTGGTAGAAAGTTGGTTTCCACTTTTTTCTGTCAAGGTTGGCATGCAAGCCAGATGATGCCTCTTGAAAGTAGATTTTTGATGGCATAGAACACATGTTTAACTAGGGCTTGCCACCAGCCCCTAGAAATCAAACACATCATTCTAGGGAGATTTTGCATCTTCCCCATGTCCAAAAAAAGAAAAACAAAATATCAGTCACAAAAAGAAAGTGGAGTAATATGAAAATTGTGCTGAAATGCCTCACCTGCTTCCAAAAAGAAAAAGCTAAGCAGAACCTTTCACAAATGTTGAAAACACACAAAAACACAATCACAAAAAAAAAAGTCTTGCAAAAAATGTTCTCTAAAAACTCATGATTCATACATACTTTTATGATTATGTATGTTTATATATATATATATATATAGTATCACACTCCCACATATCAGTGTTGTTTCATACACAATTACATGACTTTGACCAAACTCGTTCAGCACTTTATTCCATAAAGATATATATATATACACACACACACACACACACACATGTACTGATTTGAAACATTACAATTATATTTCAAGGAAACAAAAACAATATTTTGACAGGTCCATCATGACCACACTGGTGGAGGGAAGTGGATGGGGTGAAGGACACCTTCAGCATATTCCAGATCTTTCTTCTTCTTCTTCTTCTTCACTGCTTTAACTTTCCCAACCTGCTCCCCAAGACTGCCCACCCATTCTACAGCCATTGAAGGTTAAGCACATGGGAGAGAGAGAGAGAGAGAGAGAGAGAAGGGCAAGAGCTCACCCTACTGCTGCAGCAGCAGCACCAGCAGCAGCAATGGTACTTCAACCTCCTCTTCCTCCTCCTCATCTTTGAAAGGTGGGATGTCCTCTCTGGAAGGAGGGAAGATATGATTCTGCTTGCTGACTCAACTGTTTGGCAGACCTGGAGCCCAGGTCATAGTAATAGCAGTTGTTACAGCACCTCAAGCTTGTCCTCCTTGCCACCCAAGCCTTCTCTCTCTCTCTCTCTCTCTCTCTCAAAACCCACCTCTGTTAAGCAAAGATAAAATAATCATTCGGTTTACAAATGGTACCTAAGCCCTAATCTCCATTTCTGTTACAATGGAATTGGGCTTCACTTGGTGGTGATCGGCCATCAATAGTGGATGAAAGGCATCTGTCTCATAAGTTTGAAGCTCCATCACACAGTAGAGGTGTTTGTTTTGAAAACATGGGAGTTTGAAACACTGCAGTAGATCAATTCTGGTATGTGACAAGTGGATACATTGTCAGTGATTAGTACCCTACACTTGTGTGTGATTTTGATGTATCTTTACTTATCAGTTTCACCCATGTAACTTTGTTGTTATTTTCCACTCATTTACCTGGTGTTACTTCTTCCTCCTTTCCTACAGTTGCTCAACAATCATTTTATTTTATTTTATTTTATTTTTTCCTTTTCTTCTGTCTGTCCTAGTTCTTTCTCTTTCTCCTTTTCTTACAGTCTTTCTTTCTTTTTTTTCTTCTTCATATTTCCTCTTTTCCACTATGCCACTTTTCCACTGTGCCACGTTTGAAAATGCTTTGGTTTGTAGTAAATTTTTTCTTGTCCTTTTGAAATTAGTTTTTCTACAAGTGGAAAAACACCAATGAATCTTAACCATGTTTGCTTTGACTAGTCACGGAGGGAAAAAGAAAGAGGCAAAGTTCCCATGGCTTACTCTTCACAAACTAGTGTGCCTGGTTTCTTGTGCTCACTCCAGGAGACCAACCTCTTTTGAACATCATGTGTGGATTCCAACTTCTTCCTCAAAGTCTTGGTGCTATGGCTTAAAGTTCCACAGCACTTTTTTCTTACAGCAATTAGAATTTTTTCTTGCTGTTTACTTTTCTTGTGTCCACTACATGAATGCATAGAGAGAACCTGCAGAGAAAGTCAATATATTGGAAAAGAATGATAATTGCATACAATAAGTAGTTGGCTAGTGGGATGTGGGGAAAATAAAGAACAGTGCATCTGATGACCCTCACCCTCTGACCTCTTGTTTACTTGTATGTGATGAAGTGTTAAGTAGTTCTTTACTTTAAATCCCTAAAGGAAGAGCAGTGTGGTCAACACACACCAGTGACACTAGCATGACAGACTAGCTGGCACATTCCACATCATCAATTGTGGGAAAACACACATGCACCCAGTTGAGATTTGCCAGTCTACAGTTTTAGAACACTCCTCAAAGCATATTCTGCAAATCTCCTCTCTGTTCCAAAATGAAGAAAAAAAACACAACAGGTAAGGTTCCCTTCAGCCACTGGGAACATGATTATCCTGTGTCCCTTCTTCTTCCTTCTACTTCTTCTCTTTTCATTCTAAAAGTTGGAGCACTGGCATGCAACAGTTGCCAGTATTCAAAATGCTGACTCCAACAATTCATTGCATACTTGGACTCAGTACAGGACTCATTTAAATACACCCAAAAACACACAATTTTTTTTCTCTCTAATTCTAGCCACACTAATATTTACGACACTTACAAGATACAGGAAAACTATTGGTTTTGACATCCATCATGTAAAACAACAGTTGCTGTGGGAGCCATTGGCCATGTGGAGATGAAACCACAGCCAAGTGGTTTGAGGTCAAACAAACTCCACAAATTTAACTGGCAAGATTCCGACCATTAGTTCAAATGATTAGCTGTAAGGTTTTGAAGCAACATCTGCTCACTTGTGGCCACGTGGGATTTCGATTTTGGATGAAATTCTTGACACAGGATTGGTAAGGCTACCTCCAAGGCCACTACGCTGCCATGTCAGCAGCGAAGGGTGGGGTGGGGAAGCCGTGGGCCAATAGAAGCGTAGGCCTTTGCCTGCTGCGCTGGCGGTTCTTGTCGGTCGGGGACCGGGAAGAGCTTCGCGGGCGGGCCCCATTTTGCCCGACCTGAACATATGTTGGGCAGCACTAAAAACTTTCAGGTCCTCCCCGGTGGCGCCAAGTGTCACTCTCCTCCTACCTCCCCGTAATCGTTCCTAACACCGTCTGTGTATCTGGCTGCCCGCCCTTGGTCTGCCCCCCGCTCCCCTTTCCTCTTTTCCCTTCTCTTCCTTCTCACCCACACTTTCTGCGTGACCTGTTCCATGTGGAATCAACCCCTCATTCCAAGCCTGCCTATTGACTACCCATGACCCCCCATTCTGAGGTTTTTAGTGATACCCACCATATAGGGTTGCCATATGGATGTGTGCCTCTAATATTTGCCTTTGGGCCTAAAACCTAATTTATAGAATAGATTTTCTCAAATAATAATGAGAAATAATATCATTTATATGAATCCGAACACATTAGAAAATCAGTTTCTTGAAATTGAACCAAATATTGCATAAAACGGATTGCTTGAAAAATTCACTTTCTGGGTTTATGTTTTTGCATCCACAAGAGTACTTTTATTTCTTTGTTTATTTATCTGTAAAAACATGCACTGTGATTGGAATCTGTCATCCATCATTCAAGCTAAAAATCACAGGAAGTAAATTGTACCACTACATCACTGTACCATTTATTTCTAGTACTACAAAAACTTCATGTCATTGAAGAAAATGACCTTGGTTGGTGTCCAGAGGCTGAGTGCAAAATACTGTATGAAATTGTGGGAGGGAATGATTTTGTATTTTGATTTGTCCCTTGATTTTATTGATAGCATTTATGCTGTAGTATTACTAAAATTAAGATAAATATAAAAATACAACAATTAAAATATGGAACCAAGGAATTCAAACTGACTTCAACACTGTAGTGTAACTCAAATTCCACACAAAAGCTCTACATCCGCATGTATATATATATATATATATATATTTCAAACATACTGGTTTAAATTACATTGATGCAGTACACCCAAGTTATACAAACAGAACTAATTGTATTATTGTCTTGTGATTTCTACAATAGATAGATATTATTTCTTTAGTTATATATTTATATATGATATATACAATTGTATCAAGACTGCACTATTCATGTGCTGCTTGGATAGCACTAAAGCCTAACATTATGGCATGGATTTAGTATGATGTCCATTGTTTGACTGGGAATTTTGTCTTTTTTGTTCTAATCAAATGAACAGCAGAGAACATAATAATAGACTTGTTTCAAAGTCTCCAAGCTGATATTGACTTAGACCTTAAGGTATGATACTTTGATTTGTAGCATAGCAGTTTGTGCCATCATTTTCCCAAAGGACACTAATCAAAACAAAGGAAAAATGTGATTGTATAGAGCATGAATCCTTTCAGGCTCTAAACTGGCGTCGTAAAAGACAAATATAGAACCACAAGAACAGTGATTATTGTGGAAGAACCAAGCAGTTCAAGGGCCATTTTCATGCATGTATGTATATGCACATCCATATATACATACACACACACACATTTATTATTTTGATTATTACTCTGAAAGGAAAAGGAAAACAAAAA